GGGGGTTGGACTAGATGACCCACAGAGGTCCCTTCCAACCCCGACCATTCTGTGATTCTGTGAGTGTCTGCATAGGAGTCATACTGCTTGACACTAGCAGGGACTCCAACTCCGTGCTCCCACTTTTTTTAAGAGACGGGCAATAAGCAACTACCCGGGAGCACAAAACCCACGATGCAAATGAGGAGCAGAAACAGCGTGGACGTCGGCGTGCTCTGTACCTGCCCGCAGCCGGGGACCTCGTACGGCTCACTCACCCACCGCCCTCCGCATCCGAGTCTGCTCCGCGCCGCCGTCCAGCCAGGCCGTGAGCTTCTCCACGCTGAAAGAGGCCGTTTGCCTCTCGCTGGCGAGGTCGGGATTCACGCTGCCGAGGACCGAGCCCTGCGAGGACTTGCTGGTCTCCATCAGAGCCATCCTGGAGGCTGAGCTGCTCTGGGAAGGGATGGGGCTCGTTAGGGGCTGGTACCCCCTCAGTGGGTGGTTGGTGACTGTGTTGGGTGCAGCGAGGAGCAGTGTCAGTAGGCTGGCCAAGGCGTTGTACCTGCACAGGCAGCCTGGGGCACGGCTTTCTGCGCTGCGGGCACAGCTATCGCAGGGCAGTGTGCTCAGCAGAGTAGGTGTAGGACTGTACTTTGGACGTAAATAGGCACATTTCCATGTTAGTTTAAAAAAAAACAAACCAAACAAAGGCTGCATGCATAGTTAGGTGCTGTCTTGTCCTCATTCCAGTGATACAGACAATGAAAATTTAGGGCAGTTTTAAGAGCTCGAAATGCAGATTTAAGGTATTCTTTTAAAACAAAATCTTTTTTCTTTCACCACTCTGTGCCCAATGCTTTATGAGAAGTTACTGCTGGAATTCCTGCAGCTATGTGTTGATGTTTAAGGGATTTTCTGGTGCTGGCTCGTTCCTGCCCCGATGCTGGGTGCTACTGCCTACCCCACGGGTGCCTGCTAAGAGGCTCCCAGACCAGTGCTTGCAGCTCTGCCCGTGCTGCCTCCATCCTGCTTCCCATGGGGCTCGGCTTTATATTAACTCCTAACCTTATAATTCCTGTGTCAGCGGGATTTGTCACAGGATACTAATAAAAAAAAAAAAAGTGTGGTGTATGGAAAGAAAAGCAGATTTTTCCCTGGAAGAGGCTGCCTGCCTTCCTGAACTATTTTTAATACTATAAGAAACTTAAACTGTGTAAAGTCTCACAAATGTGTGCTTAATTCTGCTTTTCTGATATTCAGACCTTTAATTCAAGGTGTATTATTGTCCTGGGAAAGAGAAAAGCCTCAAAGCAGCATGCTGAGTAGGGAAGACTGGAGTAACCCAGACCGTCCTTGAGCCATCCCAGAAAGCACCGGGGCAGCTCAGCTGCCAGCTCCTTCTTCCGTGAGGCCGCGTAAGAAAGAAACCCGTGTGTCTGCCTGCTGTGTGCGAACGCAAAACCCCACGTACCTCGTCCCAGGCGTCCTTCGGGGAGCCGTCTGGCTGCTGCCTCTCTCCTGTGCCACGCTCCCAGCGTCCCCGCTGCAGGGACCTTGTCCCCGGGGCCAAGGGAGCTCGACCCAGCCCACGGGTGGTTCTGCGTGTGCGCGGCGGCGTGCCGGAGCTGGCCTCTGCCGGCAGCGGCGGAAGTCGTGGGCGAAAAAATCCCCCAGCTCCCAGTGCCGAAAGGGCTGGAGCCTCTGCGTCGGGAAAAATGCCACTTTGCTGATCACACTTCAGCTGTTTGTGTGCTGGAAGCTGCACTTCCAGCTCTGTCACCAAACTGGCACCCTGCCTCTGTCCCAGTAGTTTTAATTATTACTTTTTTTTTGTAGTCTGCTCAGGATGCCAGACGGTTCCCTGCATCTCCAGTGATCCTGAATCCGTCCCCGCTGCACTGTGTCCTGGTGTCCAGTGGACATGAGATGGCAACTCACACCCCACCGGCTACATCGGTATGAGCCTGATGGGAGAGGAGTCCCTCCTGCCCACAATTCATCCAGGAGTCTGTGCTGCTGCTTCAGACCTGCTCATCTCTCACTGGAAACTGCTTTGTCAGGGAAGGAGATGAAACAGGTGGGATTCACCGTACCGCAGAGCTGCGTTAGCATGGAAAGTGAAGCAAAGGATGGGAAATCAGATGTAGTTTTGCATAACTGTAATTTTAAGCTTGAGCCTGCATGAACCAACCCAGCAGCTGCGAGGAGCATTGATAACTGAGCACAGCTAGCTGTAACGCAAGGAGTGAGTGCATAGGAAAAGAGGTCTCAGCATGACCAGCATCAATTGCAAAGCTGGTATTGAAAACTCCGGCAGCAAGAAAAATCCAGGCAATGGAGCAGTTTGTGCGTAGCTAAAAGGCGGCGTGTCTTTAAGAACAGAAAGGATTGTTTCATACTCTCTTCCCTAGAAGAGCAACTGTCACGATATGAACGACTGCCTTTGGCATCCGTGGTGAAAGGAGGTGTGTGATCAGTGTAAGCAGTCTTGGGGCATAGCCCATGGAAACCTTGCCGGCTGGGGTGGGGAGAGGTTAATACAGCATTTTTCAAAGTGCTGCCTGAGTCCCCTGGTCTCGCATCTCACCAAAGGCCATGCTCTCCAGCGAGGATTTTTCCCTTTGTGCGGTTTGTGCCAGGAAATGAAGTACGCAACCCGCCATGGTAGGATAACAAGCGGGCTATTGTTATAAGTGGGAACAAAGCGGGGAGATGTTTTGGAAACCTGACCCGAAGAACGGGTTTAGTCAATGAGCCCTCATCCCTAACGATGAGCTCACTGCCCACACCAGTGCTGTAGGGTGCAGAGGGTTGGGAGCACCGCGTACCTCCCAGGGTGGCAACCCCAGAAGATACCCAGTGTCGGAGAAACATGTCCGGACGCCATCTCTGCCTTGTTCTGAGCAGGGAGTTCATGTCTCTGTTGTTGAGGATATTGCTAATGAGACAGAGAAGTCCTTTTCGTTTTCTTTGCTGCATTCGGCTTTAGTCCTGGCTCTCGGGGAGCCAGGTGTGTGACCTGCACGTATGGAGCATCCTCTCTTTTTCTTATCTATTTAATCTGTGGTCTTTGGTTGCTGTTAAAACACTTAAAAATGTTTAAAAAGAATGAATTCAACTCACTAGTGTGAGGATTACCTTTCAGTTCAAAACTGAGTTTTTAAATTAGATCCATGGGCAGTGTGTTTCCTTGGCTTTGCGGCTCTTACCCTGCCAGGCAGGTGAGCATCTGTGGCCAGTTAGAAATCAAACATAAGGGAAGTTTCAGTGCACGAAGCCCGATTCCACAATTTTTGTACCCTTAAACTTTCATCAAATAGTGATGAAGTCTAGGGATAAGCAATGGATGCAGCATTGGGTGCGGATGAGGAAAACAGTTTGTTGATGAGTAAGTTAACACAGCACTAACAAAGGAGCTGCTGTCAGACTTGACTGGTTTTTATGTTCAGTCAGTTTATTTGGCTGTTGTCTGCTTGTATCCACGGAGCTTTTTCAGTTCCTTGTGGAAAAGAGCAAAATATACAATCATCGTTTAGTTTATTTCTTCAGAATGTCCACATTAAACAGTGTTAGTTACGTGGCGCTGAATGATATATACTTTTACATAAACGTATAAACACCAACACCGAATACAGACTATATACCACATAAGCAACATACACAGTGCAAAAAGTTTGTCTTCCATCAGCACTCTGATAACCTGTATCTTCTGGATACACCACATTTGTTCAGGAATGTGTTTTAGGGGCACAGAGGGGGAATTCATTTGAAAGAGAAAGAAATACAAAGACACCCCAAAATCTTCCTGGTGATGCCTACTCTGATGTTTTTTCAGGTGCCACGTCCACGCTGCCTCGCCATGAAGCACAAGAGCATCGGTGAAGGTTGCACAGGCGCTGGGTCTGAGCCCAGCCAGGGAGGCGGTTATCGCTTCGCAGGGGTGAGAAGAGCCGTGCTGGAAAACGCTGTGATTTTTTTAAGCCATGGCTCGAACAGTGAGAGCATCCTTTCCCACGCGCCGTCGTGGAGGGCTGGAGCCTTCAGCTCTTGCCAGGGACAAAGCGCCGTGTGCTGCGCTGTGTGCCGTGGGGCCCAGCCTGGCAGGATGGGTCAGGGTCCTAGTGGGCGGCCGGGTCAGGGCCTTCTGCTCTCTCCCCACCACTGGAGGAGTTTCTTGTGGCTCTGTTAGCTCAACATGGGTTAGAACAGTATGACCTGGCCCTCCTTTTCCCTTCTGGACATCTGCTGAAAACGACCCAGACACTCCTCAGCAATCCTCAACTGTGTTTGCATGCAGCCCCGCTCTGTGCTTGGTCAACCCCATGTCAAAGGGAGACATCTTGGTGCTTTTTTTTTTTTGCAGATAACATTTGCACAGTCAAGAAGACCACAGCAAAACATCTTCAACCTTTTCATTGCTGATCTGAGCACTGAGCTTACCCAGACCTTACCGGATGGCTCCCACCCAAGGACTTGCGTAATTGCCCCCGTCCCAGCCTGGGTGAGCTGGTAACGCTGATTTCACTGGTGCATATGGAGCGACAGATTGCCTCTCCTGGAGTGCATTTCCATCTGTGGCAAAATTACAAATTAATTTGCTGAATTTTTTTGAGCTCTTTGATCAAGGTTACTTAATCTGTGCCATAACCCCTTACAAAACCCCAGCACAGTAATTCTGGCTTGTTGTTTAAACCGATGTTGTCTGTGGAGTATCATACAGCATTCTTTAAAGCTGTGTACAAGCGTCCCTAACAACACCTTTTTTTTCTTGGAGAAACTTAGCTTTTTTTTTTGTCCCGAAAAAATGGTTGATGCTGCTTCTTCCTCATGGTTTTAATCATAACCTATATGAAAAGCTTCACAGTTGGAAAGGGCATAATAGATCCTTCCAGATCTTGTTTGACCTGTTGTGATCGTATCTACTGGATTTCTGAAGTATAAAACTTGTTTAATAAGCATGATGAGCGAGGGGCTTCAAAACTACCACAGAGACAGTGCCATGAGATAGGGCTCTCAAGGACTGAAACTGAGCTAAGGGCTTTTCCAGTCTGATCTGTTGTGGAAGCCCCGTACCTGCTCTTGACACGTGATGTGGCTCAGATGTTTTACTCAAACTGCCAGGTCAAGCAACAGCGCTCTAAAATGAAGCACCCCTCTGGACCAGGGAGACTAGGGAATGGATTAGTAGTGCTTTAATAAATATGTGATAAATGCCCAGTTTCCCTTAATTTACGTATGGATCCACTGAAGATGTGGATAGTAGATATTGTTTAACCAGGTATTACCTTCCCAGATGACTAGGTCCATTGAGGCTTGCCATTCCAGAGCCAGTGTTCGAAGGCAGTCGGTGAGTTATGCTGTTTAGGCTTTGTATCAGGGCTGATGTGAGACGCAAAAAGCTGAGATCTTCCTGCAGGCACAATTTTAGCTCTAGA